GGTCATTATTTATTTTACAAACATAAAGCTGAAATTGAGAAGTTGTGTGTGAAAAACTAAGTACACCCCCCCTGCCCCCATAGCTTGTAGAATCACCTTCATCGTCTTCTCTGTGACTGTGTCACTCTCTTGTCATGGAGGAATGTCGGCTTCTCTTCTGTACAGTGTTGCTCGTTGCTTCGGCTGATTGGGGTGTGCCGGCATTTGTGTATGTATGGCCCGCCACAGCATTTCCATCGGGTTCAGGTCTGGACTGTGACTTGGGCCATTGCAACACCTTGATGCCTTCCTTTTCCAGCCATTCTGTTGTAGATTGTTTGGGATCTTGGATCCGGTCACATGACCCAGTTTAGGCCGAGCACTCGATGTCAGACAGACGTCCACTCCTGGAAAGATTGCCAATTGTCTTTAAAGTGACACTACACTCCGGAGTTAAAGGAGAAGTATGAGGGGGGTGATTTTCACTCAGCCTCATAATCTGAGCCGACCTGTGACAATGAGACTGTCACACGTCTACTCAATAGATCGGGAAGTGAGCGAACAGATACCGGCGCTCGCTCACTTCCCGATCTATCCCTTCAGAGAGCCGTGACTGTCACTCACTCTCCCTGCAGGGATTCCCCTCTCCCCGCTCCGATCCTCCAGCGCTGACTGGCGGAACGGACGGGGAGGGGGCGGGCACAGCTGGCTCTGCCTCTAGATAGGCAGAGCCTGCTGTCAATCATACAGCTGGGTGGATCCAGACAGTGATGTCGGGATTCATCCCGGCTGCGGCGTCTCAGTATACCGCGAGCTGTAGCTCCCTATATACTGAGCTTTGGGTGACGGGAGGACGCTAGTTTAGGTCCTCCCGTGACCCTTAGGAGAACTATGGGGAAAAACACTGACCCCATAGTTCTCCTTTAAATCCTATTACATACCGAACTAGTAACAACAATGTATCTTATTTGTGTATCACTCGGCTGCAGATCCTCCAATCATCTCTGAATTGGTGCTGACACTGTCCTTCCTTCTGGAGGGGGGCTACTTGTGTTCCCCATGGTGTATGTTGTAGAGTAGTCACCGCTCCAAGCTCACTCCCGGGATGGACTACAATCTCCATACAAATGAATAAACTAAACCTGAGATTGTAGTCCATCCCAGGAGTGAGCTTGGAGCGGTGACTACTCTACAACACACAGGTAACAAAATGGACCTATGGGAGCAGTGAGGGTGTACTTAGTTTTTCTCCATGTTGGCTTTGTTGTAGAATAAATCATGACGCGGTGTAATGTGTCATCTGAGGATAAGACCTGCTAAGGACCAGATTATTTTTATGATGCCCTAATACAGAGGTGGCGAACCCATGGCACACGGTTCCCCTCTCTGCTGGCACGCGAGACCAGGTACGGATTAACATGGGGGCGCCTGAAAATAGCCCGACCATCCAGGTGTTCTGTCGAAATGGCCAACTCGTTGAGATTTCCAACTTGTATCCAACGTCCGGGGACTTGCCAGTAGGAGATGTGGACGAGATGGCGCCAGTGCATGTGGCAGAGTCAGAATCCTGGTCGAGTTCTCCAACTCCCGTCAGTGCGCGGCCACCCAAGAGCGGTATCAAGTTCTCCGATTGGTGTTACTGTGTCAGCGCGCATGGCATAACATGAAATCTGTTGGCATAAGACGCTCTCTGATTGGCTGCCTTTGCAATGACGAGGGTTGTGACGCCGCGCAGGGGCACTGATGGAAATTGGAGGACTTGGCAAGGATTCTGAAACTGCCATGACTGGTGCACGCGCACTGGCGGCATATGGTCCACGCTGGCAAGTCACAGGTCGTGACGTAACGAGTTGGAGATCTCGCCAGTTTGGGCAAACGGGCTCAAAAAGGTTCGCCATCACTAAAGCCATAGAATTGATAGAGGGTGTACTTTCTTTTTCACGCGGCTGTAGATCTAGACCTTCAGGAGGAGCTCTGCGGTCAGCTGATCTTCCCGGTGTAACAACTCTTATGATGAGTTGCCTATCGGGGCTGTTGTCCCACTTGCACAGCTTTCCCATCACTTCCTGTTGGGATGGGAAGTGATTCTGATCTCTACAGTGGGGACACAAACTATAGAAAGAAGTTCTTATCAATAATTTGAGGAAAGGACAGATCCTGTGTCAGCGGATCTTTTTTACTATTCCAAAAGGGGAAAAAACATTTTGTCTGAGCTCCTGTAATAAAGACCACTTACTGCTGCTCTCTCTCCTTGTGCAGGGTGACTGGTCTTGTCAGGCTAGTTATATAATGGGAAGTGAGGTTCGCATCCCTGCTGAACAACTTCTCAGATGACGGCGTCGTGTTCAGTGAATGTTCTTATTGCTGAATTCCTCCTAACAATACTCTCTGCCGGGCCGAGCCACTGACCCAGAACAGGCATGTGCAGTAGGAAAGGGTTAAAATACTCTGACAATTTAATTTTTATTGCCATTTATTATTTATTACAGATATTTATATAGCGCTGACAATTTACACAGCACTTTACATAGAGCGGATTCACATCAGTCCCTACCCTCAAGGAGCTTACAATCTAAGGTCCCTAGCTCACATACCTACAGGGCCAATATGGACTGGAGCCAATGAACCTTCCAGCGTGTCTTTGAGTGTGGGAGGAAACCGGAGTGCCCGGAGGAAACAGGAGAGCACAGGGAGAACATGCAAACTCCTTGCAGACCGGGATATGAACCGGGGACCCCCAGTGCTGCAAGGCAGAAGTGCTAACCACATTTGTGTCTCATTGGGGGGAGATTTCCCTCTACTTCCTGTCCAGCGGACACAACAGGAAGTGAGGGGAAACCCATCTTCGACTACTGTCACTAACCCCATTGGAAGATTTCTTCTCTTTCCTGTTATGGTGACTTTCCCTCACGTTCCATTGCAGGAGAGATAAGAGAGAGTGAATCTCCCCAGTGAGGACACAACCAGCAATGAGAACCCTTACAGGTCCTAACCTTCCCCACTCTATCCAAAGCTGCCGGAACCCCTCGCTGTCCAAGGCCGGCAAACTTGTAAATGATTTGTATCCATTTCATACTATTTTTGAGAGGTTGATGGATGAGGAAGAAAATGTTACAGAGAAATGTGTGTTTGCAGGAAAGGCCTCAGTCAGTAACAGACCAGATAGAAGAGGATAGAGCAAGGGCTGGGGAACCTCCAGCTGTGGGGAAACTACAAGTCCCATGATGCATCTGTCTCTTGGGTGCATGCCTGTGGTTGTGAGAATCTTGCAATGCCTCATGGGACTCGTAGTTCCACAACAGCAGCAGGGCCAGAGTTTGCCCAGCCCTGGGATTGAAGGATGTTACAAATCTGATACATGAGATGTTTTCTTTTCATGGAGTAATTGGCTCATTTTATTTAATTTTGTTAACGGAACTTTCATTAAAGTAAAACTGAAGCCAACACTTTTTTGTTTTGGATCGAGTAAGGGAGGATTATAACCCCTGTCGTCTTTTTGTGCCATCTGTGTCCCATTTGGGGAAATTTTCCTTCATTTCCTGTGTGATACTTAAAACAGGAAGTGAAAGAAAATCCCTCCAAAGTTAGGAAAATCCCTAGTGGTCACCAGAACTAGTGTCACCATTGGAAGATTTCCCATCTATTCCTGTTCTGGTGACAACCCAACATTTGGGATTTTCTCATTCACTGATGTACTCCTGTGACCCAAAGTCAGCTAATAGAGGGCTCGTGCCTGCAATCAACTGACAACGCAGAGCCGCACTGCAGCTGAGAAGAATCCTGACAATATGGTCGGCATCCACCCGGGCTAACTGACTGCTGGCTCCGCCGCGCCACAGCCAGCCGCTCTGCCCCCTTCCCTGTCTGTCACATCAGCCGTCTCTGAGGAATCTGAAAGGGGAGCGGGGAATTCCTGCTGGGGGAAGTGACTGACAGTCATTGCTCTCCCCTGGAAGCAGAGACCAAGAGCTGAAAAAAAAAAGCATCAGTGTTACTGTTTGCACTGGCCGGCTGTGCGTTCATAAAGGTACAGGGGCTGATCTGAGGTCTGAAGTGCGTGCGCTGGGGCTGATCTGAGGTCTGAAGTGCGTGCGCTGGGGCTGATCTGAGGTCTGAAGTGCGTGCGCTGGGGCTGATCTGGGGGTCCGAAGTGCGTGCGCTGGGGCTGATCTGGGGGTCCGAAGTGCGTGCACTGGGGCTGATCTGGGGGTCCGAAGTGCGTGCACTGGGGATGATCTGGGGGTCTGAAGTGCGTGCACTGGGGTTGATCTGGGGGTCCGAAGTGCGTGCACTGGGGCTGATCTGGCGCGCTGGTGAACATGATACTTGGGGGCTGATTTGTTATGCGTTTGTAGCACATTACTGACTCCATAAGAGCTTTTGCTCCTCGGCTCCATCTAGTGACAGTAATGTGCTGCGAAAGTCGTTCAGAAGCCGTACACCGTGCAAACTATAAATCGGACCCTTCATTTTGAAAATGTCGCTGACCTCGGTTCTTACCCTTCCTCCATCTGCTGCTGAGTTTTTGTCTGGGTCCCATTTGGGGGATTTTCTCTCACTTCCTTTTCTGTCTGACAACACTCAAAAATAGTTCTTCCAAAACTAAAAGAAACCTTTCAGGCGCAGTTGGGCTCGCACAGATTATCAAACCAGATTGTAATCCTAAAGCCTCGTTCACACGGATGGGCAGAGACGTATAGCGTGCGCGTCCATGCAGAAATTGACCAAGCTGTCACATGCAGCCGATTGTACAACTCGATGACAGGATGCGGCTGTGTGCTGGTCAAGTTGCAGTATATTGCATGTTTTGTTTTTGGGTTTAGATACACTTGAAGTTTGTACTTTCCTTTCTTCAAGGTCAGTACGGGGTCTCTTTGTGTGGCAGCGGAAGGTACATGATTGTGTGCGTCTTCCGTACAATTCCAGCCACCTTGCCACTTTGTTGAGGCACTGTGGGAAAGTGCAACAGGTTCATAAGGCATTTGTGCAATTTGCAGGCCGGTGGAATATAAGCATTAATTGCCCCAACAGGGAACATAGGGGCCGATTTATACATTGTTTGCACAGCTGTAGCCTGTGCGAATGAGATTCACTTAGCTTGATGGCCACTAGATGGAGCTGAGGAGTATAGGAACTTTCTTAGCTCCTCGGCTCCATCTAGTGGCCATACAGCATTGCAAATCTCATTCACACAGCGAGCAGCTTTGCAAAGCGTTTATAAATCAGCCTCCTAGCATTTTACTTATGTTAAAGTCGATCTAAACCAATCACTTAAATCTCATACACTGTAACTTGTGTAATTTCAGAAGTAATTTTTGATGTTTTAAATAATCCCTGATGATCCTGCCACGAAGGTCCCAATTCAGGCACTTCCTGTTAGAGTGACAACACTCTGTCTCCCATCTGCTCTCCAGTTTATTCGCCCTGTCACATGGACTTTTGACAGAGACCGCTAGTGGCAGTTTTAACACCCGTTATACAGACGTGGTCCACTATGGTCGTCCTCATCCAGAAAAACCATGCAGCCATCGCTGGAGTATATAGACATGAAGTGGCTGCAAGAAATGAGATGTAACAAAGGACAAAAAAAGTTAGAAAGTATTTAATGAAATAAAGGTCATTTGACAGCAAAATGTCATTGTGTCGTGTTTACATCTATTTCAGGTTTGTTGTTGCACTTGGTGTAAAATTGTTACTTTTTGTCCTAACAGTTTACTTTTGTTTTACAGCCTTCTCTTGGGAACGCAAGCCCAGGTAATGTCTGTTTATTGGCTTTCTCATTTCAGGGATGTTAATGTTTATTCTAGGGCTGCAGCTAACGATTATTTTCATAAACAATTAGTTGCCCAATTGGCTCCCACCCCTCTTCTCCCCCTCTCCTCCCCTCTCTTCTCCCTCTCCCCCCCTCTCTTCTCCCTCTCCCCCCCTCTCTTCTCCCACTCTCTCTCCCCATTGGTTTCCATGCACAGCTGCTCCAGTTTTGATAAATTCCCCTTCCACGTGTGGTGCTAGGTGCATTGCGTTGCTATTCATTTGATTGGCACCCAACGTACATCCGGGTGGCTGTGCAATACAGCACAATGCGTGGTACCGCAGTACTATATGTAGGGCTGCAACTAATGATTATTTTCATAATCAATTAGTTGGCCGATTTTTTTTTTTTTTTTTTACATTTATTTATTTTTTTATTAATCTGATTAAAAAAATTCAATAAACCTTTAATTTAAAATAAAATACATAAATTTAGTGTTACAAACATAAAGTTTGCTTCAGAATTAAACTGCATGCACATTTTTTTGCAATGGCACTGCACTGGAACGCTCACTCCCGGGATGGACTACAATCTCAATACAAATCAGTAAACTAAACACGAGCTTGTAGTCCATGACGGGAGCGAGCTTGGAGCAGTGACTACTCTACAGCACACACAGGGACCATGGGGAACAGACGTAGCCCCCCTCCAGAAGGAAGGAAGGTGTCAGCACCAATTCAGAGATGATTGGAGGATCTACAGCCGAGTGATACACAAATAAGATACATTGTTGTTTATAGTTAAGGTACTTGAATGCATTTTTAAGGTTTAGCTCCTGAGTTCAGTGTCACTTTAACACGTGGGAGGTGTTGTCTAGTCCAGCAGAAGAGAACTGACAGCACTGCTTGTGAACTTCTCTTATTTGGATTTTCTTATTTTTTTTTACTGTCACCAATAAACATTTCTGTGTCTCTTTTGGATCAGGAGGCTCGGCTGCATCCGATGACCATGAGTTCGACCCCTCAGCCGACATGCTGGTCCACGAGTTTGACGATGAGCGGACTTTGGAGGAGGAAGAGTTAATGGAGGGCGATGTGAACTTCAGCTCTGAGATCGAGCACTTGGAAAGGGTGGGTGGAATGGAGCACTTTGTGTCTTTTTATTGCCTTGAATTTGCCACTTTACAGCTCACTCCATTGTTATAGCGCTTCCAGTATGCCTAGAAATGTGCCATAGGTGAAGTGTATCCCAGTAACCACGTCGTTTGGGTGTTACTGGTGACCAAAGTCCAAGTCTTCAGTCTCTGGTACATCCAGGTAAAAACAGTACCATGTGTGAGGCTTGAAATGCCCAGATCTGGCTCTGTCTTGTAGGTTGCTATGTGTGAATCTTGCAGTAAACAATGTTTAAATAACGTGTTTCCCCGAAAATAAGACACTTGTCTTATATTTTTTTTTGGCTCAAAAAAACACACTAGGTCTTATTTTCGGGGTCGGTCTTATTTTTTTTTCCAATGTACAACAATCCATCGTTGGCACTGCTGATTCTCTACTGCGACTTTTCAAGTTCCCCCTTATGCCACCACCGGCCTTGGGAATAGTCACAACTAGGTCTTATTTTCGGGGTAGGTCTTATATTTTAGCAATTCCCAAAAATAGTACTAGGTCTTATTTTTGGGGTAGGTCTCATTTTCAGGGAAACAGGGTACTGTGTTTCCCCGAAAATAAGACACTGTCTTATATTTTTTGTGGCTCAAAAAAACACTCTAGGTCTTATTTTCGGGGTAGGTCTTATATTTTAGCAATTCCCAAAAATAGTACTAGGTCTTATTTTTGGGGTAGGTCTCATTTTCAGGGAAACAGGGTACTGTGTTTCCCCGAAAATAAGACACTGTCTTATATTTTTTGTGGCTCAAAAAAACACTCTAGGTCTTATTTTCGGGGTAGGTCTTATATTTTAGCAATTCCCAAAAATAGTACTAGGTCTTATTTTTGGGGTAGGTCTCATTTTCAGGGAAACAGGGTACTGTGTTTCCCCGAAAATAAGACACTGTCTTATATTTTTTGTGGCTCAAAAAAACACTCTAGGTCTTATTTTCGGGGTAGGTCTTATATTTTAGCAATTCCCAAAAATAGTACTAGGTCTTAATTTCAGGGAAACAGGGCGGTAGATGCAGCATCTTCCATGCTAAATACATGCTTTTTTTTTTTTTTTAAACTTTCCTAACGGTGAAGACTGCCACCTTGTGGCCTAAGTCAACACTGCTTGGCACTTAGTGTGTCCAAAATGACCTCATCATCTCTTTAGAAAACTGTAATCCTTTTGGTGAAAACAGTTTATAGCGTCCCTGCACCTGTGCTTGTTTCCTACATTTTGTAGAACCCTAGTGCCCGACCTGTGACCCAGGGGTAACGTGCTGTAATAGGTGACCCTGTAGACAGTATTTTGTGATTTGGTACTCAAGCCAATGAAGAAAAATATTCTATAGACTGGCTTCAAGTGTTAAAGTGACACTAAACTCGGGAGGTAAATCTGAAAAATACATTCAGGTACCTCAACTATTAACAACAATGTATCTTATTTGTGTATCACTCGGCTGTAGATCCTCCAATCATCTCTGAATTGGTGCTGACACTGTCCTTCCTTCTGGAGGGGGGCTACTTTTGTTCCCCATGGTCCCTGTGTGTTGTAAAGTAGTCACCGCTCCAAGCTCACTCCCGGGACGGGATGGACTACAATATCAATGCAAATTAGTAAACTAAACATGAGATTGTAGTCCATCCCGGGAGTGAGCTTGGAGCGGTGACTACATTACAACACACACAGGGACCATGGGGAACACAAGTAGCCCCCCTCCAGAAGGAAGGACAGTGTCGGCACCAATTCAGAGATGATTTGAGGATCTACAGCCGAGTGATACACACATAAGATACATTGTTGTTATCAGTTATGGTGTTTGAATGTATTTTTAAGATTTAACTCCTGAGTTTAGTGTCACAGGTCACATAGGGCCTGATTTATACACCGCTTACACAGCTGTTGCTTGTGCGAATGAAGTTTGCTTTGCTGTAGGACCTGGGACTGGCATGCAGCTAGTGTATTCCGCATTATTAAAAGGTGGTCAGCAGTGTATGGGCACATGTGGGTGGCAAGGATGTACAACGGGAACTCCATAAAGATCACACGTTCTCTATTCATTCATCTTCATTTAGGGAGATATTTGAGTTTATTCTACCAAATGCAGAAGGAAAATGCTAGGTGCACAAAAAACAAAACGGGGCTAAGACTACCAAGTGGCTAAACACCACCTCTGCCAGAGAGCTTAGTTTTTCCCCCCCTAAGACAAAGGGTTATAGATTGTTTGTTTAAATCTGAACTCTGGGATAAGCAAATTTTGTCTAGGCAGGTGCACTCTTCCTTGAATCTCTGTGACCTTTGTGTATTTCATCCAGATCTGTGCAGTAATCCAGTGTGAGACTTGAATCTTCCTGTATTAAAGACCGGTCACTGCTGCTCTCTCCTTGTGCAGGGTGACTGGTCTTGTCTCCGCCCCCTCCTGTAATAAAGACCGCTCACTGCTGCTCTCTCTCCTTGTGCAGGGTGACTGGTCTTGTCTCCGCCCCCTCCTGTAATAAAGACCGCTCACTGCTGCTCTCTCTC